AGGGTGACTTAGTAGAACGCACCTAGTCCGAAGTCGTTTGCCATAATTTTGGAAGTTGCTTGCTAGATGATGTTCTATAATCATACCTGGGTTCAAAGTAAGGCTAGGACGCATTATATAAAAATCTGTTTAAATTTGCAACACTATTCTTCTTTTTTTCGTTTTACCTTTAATAGCCGGCTAAATTCCGCCCTGCGCCTGGTTCAGCTACTCGCCTGCTTCTTTCCAGCTCTCAGTCTGTATCCGCTACTAATGTACGTCGGCGGCCCGTCTCAGTCACAGAGACTGGAGACGAACCAAAGAACCTGTATATGGCTGATCCACTCAATGCCCCGCTCCCGATTCCGCCACCAAATTGGTCAATCCGGTGCCGATTACACGGTCGGATGCGAAACTCCGATGAAGAACTATCAATTGATGTTTCAGAACGTCAGTTTGTCAAACTGCCAGCTCAACGAGTTTTCTCCAAGGTTTGAGCTGCCATTTTAGTCCTCTAATAGTTTTCACTCATGTGTATAATATGTTATCAAATTCCAAATTTAAAAGCTGTGTTAGCTGAGTTCTTTGAAGGACTGAATGCTTCGCTATGTGTATTTTTGCCTATAAGGGCATTAAATATAAGTAATTTGAGATATTTTCCCTCCTCTATGGTTTTTTACCATTTTATGTTAATTCCTTAATAGGTCTTTTTATAAAACAACGATACTTTTCAATCGAATTTATACTTTTTAAGTTATATGGCTGTTCACTGATACTGTGCTCGTCTTCGTGCTACTATAGAGTACCCCGGCCTTATATAGAGAAACAAGGAAACGAGTCACGAAGTTCCTTGTATAAATTAAGAAACGTTACCGACGAGGATTCTGAATGGGAAGGCAAAGACGATTGTGGAGCGTTGTGTCTGTGTCAGAGATCAATTTTCGATCACAGGGTCCAAACGGCACAGGGAGGGCGGCAAAGAACAGTCTTTATTTAATATATGAAGACCAAGATGTTGTGGCTTCTGGTATGGTTGCAGTCTCCTTTCGATTTATAGAAGTGGGTTGACCTTGTCGCAACTTGGACTTGTTGTCAGGGCGACTATGTAGAACGCACCTAGTCCGATGTCGTCTGCCATAGTAGTTGTCATGATTCCCAGAATCTGACAGTGGACTTGATACATTCTCAAACTGTCAGATTCTGGGAATCATGACAACTACTATGACAGTTTTTATTTAGTCTAGGTTTCTGGCATAAAATACTCTAGTGTACTTTTAATGCCATGTTCTGATTGGTTCAACAGAGAGGCTCGATGTGGCGGCTAGGTGGGCTTAGTCACTGCGGCACGTTGTGCAGATGAGTTATTAACCGGGTGGTGTTATATGGGTTGAGAGAGGACTGCTTGCTAGGTTGTTGTGACGATAGGCGCAAGACTAATAGGAAAGTGTAAGTCCCATTGATTACCCCGGAAAGGGCAGCATTGAAAAAAAGAGTCAGCAACACACAATTTGTTATATGCTTGAAACTCAGAAATATATCAAGCACAGTGAAATATTGATATGAATTTTCTCAAAGGATCAAGCTTAAAGCACCTGAAGGAATTGAATTATTGATATATAATCTACATTCATAAACCTTAAGAGAGAGAAGACGCTAACAGCTCTGGTAGACATTTTGGATCGAGAAGAGGATATACTAAGCTCAGAGCGCATCAGAATTTGCTCGTTATCATGACTAATCAACTTGACAATAAGGGCTTCCTACATCATAGATATGAATAACAACTGGGTTCCGATGAATTCCTTAGTGATATATTGTGAGATGAGGTTCCATTCAGAAGGAAGGCATTCGTGATGTAGTCTCACCGGAAACTGAAGGAGGATTTCCGTGTTGGTAAGACTGCTCACCGTCCTGCGACCCCGATGAACTTGTACTAAGCTTTTGTCTGTACTATAATAAACATCATCAAAACAATAATCCATACCTTACTTAATAGAGCAAAAATATATTAAATCAAGAGAAAAGGTGACCGGCTTCAAACTTAGTCACTTTTTATACAACTAATCCTGCGATCTAAATGAGGCATCCCATGATTTGGTTGGCTGCTTTACCCTTACTCTGCATGCTAGCAAATGAGTGAAATTACTTCTCGAAACGGAAGTGCGTTTGTTGGCAGCTGTTTCTCTACAAGAATAAACAAGTGTACGATCCTCTAAGGTTGAATCATGTTTAGGTTTGCCATTTTCTGTTGTTTGTATGTTCTTCATGTCGTGGGAAGTGTGATAGTTCTAATTATACTCGAGGCTAATCCAGAATCTTTCTTTTGTTCAGTGGCTCTTCCTGCACCCCATCTTAAGCCTATCAATCTACCACAAATAGTTCCTACTCATTTTTCCACACTTGTTCCTTTATTCAGTACGTTAGCTGTTTTGTTAACTTCTATAGACTCTTTTATCTTACGCTTTGACGTGAAGTCCCCGCAACCCTGAAAACGTGTTTTGGACCAGTTTATTGAGTATCCTGTATTGGCCATGTGTTCAGCGAACTCAGCTTTTTGGACCCACAAACCTTTACAAGCGGTCTTTTGTCCGCAGTCTCTTGTAAATGGGTCGGCAGATCTCCCTCACATAGTCCTAACCACATGAGCACAAAACCGTGTAGCAGCCTGATCTAGAAATAGGGTTTGAAAATTCTTTAAACGAGGGAACTACTGAGGAAAGTGTTAATTTCTCTTTATACATTGCTCTGATTTTCCACTTCCTCAGTAGATCACCCAACTTTTTCGCAAGGTGACAGAAAGGCAAAATCAGGAAACGAGTAGAATTGTCCACTTATCTATCCCGCCCCAGCTAACAAACCCCCCTCATCTTATTACTGACAAGTGGCATGTTATTGTCTAATAATCCTGATTGGTAATTGTTTTGAAACAATGTATGCCTCAATCTACCGATCTCCTGGTCCCTGTGGTTTACGTCTGCTAGACGCAGACTCCTTATTATTATAAACTTCATAACTCCTATTTTAACTCTATGTATGGTTGGAGAATGATTGAATAAGT